AGAGGAAAGCAGTTCATCCAATGCCTGGAAGCTTCTGCCCCTTGGAGGTGGGTTGTGGACACAGCCTGGGCCTGGTAGGCAGTGGCTGAGTGCCAGCCTTGTGCCCTGGGACTGAGATCTGGGACTTTACCCAGTGGGGCGGAGAAGTTAAGAAGTGCTAGTTAGGCCCATTTCCCGCTCCTCCATGGCCTCCATCCCAGTGCCACTGCCACATGGGAGGCCTGGGGAGGGTGGGAGTGTCTGTGTCTAACAATTGCCCGTCTTCATTGAGGACTTGCTGTGGGCCGGGCACTTCCCCATGGCTTCATGGAGATTACATCTTTTATTCTCACAATGTCTCTATAAGATAGGACACCTTATTTTCCCAACTACACATGGGAAGACTGAGGCACGTAGAGGGTAAGTGACTGACCTGCCCACAGGCACACAGCCAGGCAGTGATGGATCTGGGATTCAAATCCAGGGAGCGACCTCAGCAGTTAAGCACTAACCCATTAGGCCTTCTGGCTTGAGCAGTGAGCTGGCTCTTTCTAAAGCACTGTCTGTCCATTATTTTGTTTCTCCTGAGGCCAGCTCCAGGGGAAAAGTGAGGCTGCTTTCATTTTACAGATGAGGACCCCAGAGCTCAGAGAGGAAAAGTAACTCACTTTAATCAGTGGCTAGCAGATCAGTGCCCCCTCCCCACCCCAGCCAGGCTGGGAGCTCTTTCAGGATGGGGGCCTGTCCCACCAGCCATGTACCTTGCTCACAGCAGACCTCACTAAATGCGGTTTCCTCGTGCAAATGTGCAGGTGTTTTGCTGAGTGCTCTGGGGAGGTGGGAATGACGGCTCCATTTCACAGATGGGGAAACTGAGACTCAGAGCACAAGGCCACACAGCAGGAAGGGGTAAGGCAGGACTGAGGGAGGCAGCACATCTGGCCTGGGAGAGGGGTTAACCAGCCAGGAGGAGCTCGTAGAAGGGCTGAAATAAAGACCGACCTTACCGAGTGTTGGCGAGGATGTGGAGGAACTGGAACACTCCTGCATTGCCAGGGACACGCAGTGGCATGGCTGCTCTGGGAGACAGTTTGATGCTTTCTCTGAAAGTCCAACAGGGATGTACCACACTGCTCAGCAATCCCACTCCTGGTATTTACCATAGAGAAATGAAAACTTACGGTCCCACAGAAACGCAGGTTTTTAGCAGCTCTATTCATAATCGTCAACAACTGGAAACAAGCCACATGGCCTTCAGTGACCAAATGGATAAACAAGCTGCTACATGGACCCCAGGGAATACTGCACTCCAATAAAGAGGAGTGGACTCCTGATACACACAGTGACTTGAAGGAATCTCAGGCATTCTGCTCAATGCCAGGCGCCAGCCTCAAAAGGTTCTATGCTTTATCATTCCACTTACCTAGCATATTTGAAAACACAAAAGCTGTAGTGGCAGAGACTAGATCAGTGGTTGCCAGGATGGAGGAGTGAGGGGAGGGTGTGGCCAGGACAGTGCCAGGGAGTTTTTGGGGTGATGGCACTGCCCGTTATCTTGATCTGGAGCTGGTGGCTCCAAAAATCGATGTGTGTGCTAAAATTCAGATAACTGCACAACTAAAGCCTGTCTATTTTGCTGTATGTATTAAAAGATAAAAGGCCACGGGGAGGCTGGAAGAGGAAGGGCGTGAGCCAGGCAACATCCTTGGCTGAGGAACAGGTGAGGGACCTGGTTCTCACCAGCGGCTTAGTGGCTTTCAGGGCAGCCTCGCCTGGCCGCGGGAGGGATGTGGCTAATTGTAGCTTCTATCTGGGTTCACCAGAAGGTGGTGGCTAGCAGCTGAGGTGTTGGGACAGCATCCTGGGCCCTCCAGGAGCCGGGTGATGAAAGGTTAGGCTCTGGCTTCCCTGGCAGGGTGGGGTTGGCCTCCTGTCCTGATGGCTGGCGCACACTGAAGCATTAACCCAGAGTCTCTGTGTGCCAGGCGTGGGACTGGCGTCACACTTACCACCCGCCGCTGTCTCCTATCACCATGGGGCCTGTGTGTGGGGAGGGGAAAGGCGTATCCACTCCCTTTTGTGGATGAGGAACTAAAGCCAGGGGGCGTAGGAGGGTAGTTTGGCCTAGAAATGACATCGCACTCACTAAAGACCGCCACTATCAACTTTTGCAGGTTTTTTCCCCAATGCGACACAGTACACTGCCTCCCTAGTTGATCGGGTCTGCAGCCACATACCCCACAGTTTGATACTGTGTTCTGATGTTTGTTCGGGTGCTTTATTTTAAGACACCAGGAGCCTTGAAAATGGGAGGTGACCTGGGGACATTCCCGCACTCTGCCTCTGGCAGCCCTGGCTGGGGCTGGAGGGTGAGATTTGCCTGGGGCCACAGGACACTGAGACAGCAGGGTCCCCTGGTGGTGAGCCCAGTGGCCTCTGAGCCTGTCTGTAGATGGGGATGGCTTTTCTGCCTTTACCGGAGGGTGGGTACAAGTGGGAATGAGATGCTGGAAGCAGCCCGAGGTGGGGAGTGGCACACTGTTATTCACCCTGGTTGGCATTGAAACCCCGGGAGCTTGGTTTCCTCATTCTCAGTGTGTCCGTCAGTAGCACCCATCTTGCAGGGCAGCTGTGATTAAAGAAGCCAGGGCCACCCCGGAGCCAGGCTCTGAGGCTTCACCTTACCCCGTTTACACTTCTGTCTCCTCTGCTTAGATTTGACTGACTGAGGACGCGACGGGCACTCAGCTTCTCGGCATCTCTGTCGTCCAGCGGAGGGGCTGGCACATAGTAGGTGCTCCTAGCCTGACTCAAGATGTTGCTAGGGCTGGGGAGTGGAGGGCTGGGGAGGACCATGGGCAGACCTGGGGTGCCAGGAGGGGCTGGTGTGGGGCTGATGGCCGGGAGGGCAAGGCCTGAGCAGGGAACCTAGACCACCTCAGCGTCCCTGCCAACACCCCTGGCAGCCTTCTCTGGCTCTCCTGGGTATGAGGGCACCCCATGCCCTTCTTCAGTCCTGGCAGGTTTGAAGGGGGGTGGCAGGGAGACGGCAGAGGGGCTCATTGGCCTACAGGATTGGGCAGAAGTTTGGTGGGGACGCAGACCCCAGGCCCCAGAAGCCCCTGCCCCAGGCTTGGACAGACCCTGCCGTCTTCTAAGCCTCGTTTGCCCCCATGAATCCAGGCTCCTTTCCTCCCCATCCCCCCAGGAAGCTTGGATGTGGCCGCCATCCAGGCCCAAAAGCCGTCTCCTGGGCCCTACGCCTCCAGGGCTGGCTCTGAGGCACCATGCAGCCTGTCAGATGGCGTGGGCTGTGTCCACCTGAGCAGACCCGCTCCCAGAGCCTCAGGGGCCTGGAGAGCGTCGCCTCAGCCATTTGACAAGGAAGCCGGCTGTGCTCCCCTTGCTGCCCTGGGCTCGTGGGGAGGCCTCAGCAGGCCTGGCGTGGGGTGTGGCCTTCCCCTACCTCAGGCCCCTTCCCCTAGAGTCTGGGAGCTGGGGAGGAACTGCGGCAAGAGACCGGTGTCTCCCCTCAGCCCTTCTGCAGAGGCCGGGCTGGAGGAGAAGATGGCGGCCAAGCAGCCCCCGCCTCTGATGAAGAAGCACAGCCAGACGGACCTCGTGAGCCGCCTGAAGACCCGCAAGATCCTCGGCGTGGGCGGGGAGGACGACGACGGGGAGGTGCATCGCTCCAAGGTGGGGTGCAGAGCAGGGGCCTCCGGCACCAACTGGGGAGGCCAGGCTGACCCACCATAGGGGACAAGGTTAGCTGAGGCCCAGGGAGCCGCAGGAGTTCTGGGACTTAGCTCATGTTCCTAGAAATGTAACGGCAATGCCAGGGGAGTAACGAGATGGTTAGAATTAAGTGCCTATTACATGCCTGGTTTTCCAGCAATTGCTTTATAAGCATTTTTAAAATCTTCTTGTTGGCACTAGAAGATGTAGATACTGTAAAATTATTAACCCATTTTATAGATGAGGAAAGGAAGGCTCAGAGAGTTTAGGCAACCTGCCCACGGCCACATTGGTAAGTGGCAGTACCAGGCTTCAAGTCTGCGTTTGGCAGAGCCCTGAGCTTTCATATGTCACCATCATATTTTCAGCTTCTTTTAAACCCTAGTGTCAAGGGGAAGCAGGAGAGGGGGTGGCCTCATGTGACCCTCCCCACCTGGGGGACCCTTTGGCCAAGCCGAGGTGCCCAGGTGGGTCCCTGGGTGTGCAGGACTCGGGAGGATGAGTGAGTGGGGGCGCTGAGAACTGCCCTCACCCTGGTTGCCTCTGACCCCCTCTGTCCACAGATCAGCCAGGTCTTGGGCAATGAAATCAAGTTTACTGTTCGGGAGCCTTTGGGGCTCAGGTGAGCATTTACCTGACTTTTGTGGGGAGGGGAGGGGTTGATGGGAGCAGAATGCACAAGAGCCCACCTCATTTGGCCTGGTCCCTGGATTTTGTCTCATTACCTCCCCCAAACCTGCCATCCCTGGGGATCTGGGCTGGAGAGGGAGGGTCCCCGGGGGCAGGGCTGTGACCTTCTCTCCACGCCTCCCAGGCTCTGGCAGTTCGTCTCTGCTGTGCTCTTCTCTGGCATTGCCATCATGGTGAGCCCCCACCCCTGGCCCCTGAGATCTGGCCCCGTGTGGCTGCCCCAGCCCTTCTCAGGCTCCCTGGGGGTACCTCCTCCATCCTGGCCCCTCATGCAGGGCCCATCTGTCAGGCTCTCAGACTGCCGGTTCTCAGGCTGCCTCCGAGAGCCTGACTCCTGCACTGCCACACCTGTGCCCTGTCCAGGAGCACACTAGATGCCATGTGTGGCCTGACTCCTTGTCCCAGGAACCCTGGAGTTTGCTGTCCTGGCATGGGAGCGGGTGGGGACAATCAGGTCCAGACCCTGGACTGCCCCCAAGGATGCTGATCCTGCTCCTGGGGGGAAGGAAGGCGTCCGTGGGAGGCGTCAGCTGTCACCCCCACCCCGTCTCCCAAGCGGGACCTCTAAGCCCCTCTCGCTGCCCGCAGGCGCTTGCCTTCCCTGACCAGCTCTATGATGCGGTCTTTGATGGAGCCCAGGTGACCAGCAAGACCCCCATCCGCCTCTACGGCGGTGCCCTCCTCAGTGAGTACTGCTGGGGCGGGGCCTGGGGGAGGCGACGGGCAGCTGGGAGACCCAGCGGGGCTGAGGAGAGCACGGGGGTCCGTGCCCGGGCACCCCTTCCTTTCTTGGGGCAGATGCTGCAGCCCACGCCCCGGCCTCTGATGAATCTCTCTGCTGGGGATGTGCTGCCATCTTGTGGCCATTGGTGGAATATACCCAGTGGGTTGGAACTTGCCGTTGCCACCTTCTGCAGGGAGCGCTCCTAAGTGTGTGCACTGCCCTGGGCGTTGTGGTGCAGAGATGGAGGCGGCCCAGGCCCAGCCCTCTAGGACTTCACAGCCTAGAGGAGAGGCAGATCAATTCAGTGTCTGCAAAACCCCTCGCACCCAGCCTGTTTTATCCCCAGAGCCACTTGTGTTTCCTCTCTAACCTGAGATACACACATTCGGATTTGGAACTAGTTTTTAAAGCTCAGCATAGGTAATATGCCTCCCTTTCTACAAAATATTCCATGGCTCCCTATTGCCTACAGAATAAAGGCTCAGCTCCTCTGGAGTTAGGGTTGTTGGAATAAAATAAATACACACCCAGTGGCATGTCTGGTACCAGCAGACACTGGGTGGGCGGGGCCTGCTAGAGGCCAAGTCAGTGGTTCATCCCCCTCCCCCTGGGGAGTTCCTTAGAGTGAGTTCTCAATGGGCTCAGGTTTTCTGTCTGGGAGTCCGTGTGAAAGAAAACCCGATTATAGGACCAGGTAACCCATTAACTCATGGATTCCATCAACACAGCATCCACCTGACAGAACCGGACGTGGACAGGGGCCAGGAGCTCAGCCCTCCCCCTTTATAAAGAGATCGAGTCTCAGCATGGGGAAGTGACTCGCCCAGTGTCGCATAGGGCCTTAGAATGACAGGAACAGACTGAAGCAGCAGCATTGAGTCTGGAGGGGACAGGAGCAGGGACAGACAGCCTTGATTGGAGGAGTGTGAATGGGGCGGAGGCGTGGAGTCCAGGACCCCGGCTGTCTTGCAGCGGTGGCCAGAGGAAGGAGGAGCCTCCTGCCCTGCTGGGAGGGAGCCAGCGGTCCCACCCCCAGCCCCCTCTTCGTCCCCTGCCCCAGGCATCTCCCTGATCATGTGGAACGCTCTCTACACGGCTGAGAAGGTCATCATTCGATGGACCCTGCTCACTGAAGCCTGCTACTTCGGGGTCCAGTTCTTGGGTGAGTCCTGGGGTGGGCAGTGAGGGAGGCTGATGGGCAGCTTCGCCCCTGACCTGCCTGCTCTAGCCACTTGGATGTGTGGGAAGTGATGAAAGCCTGTCTGTGGGGGGCTAGTGAGGGGAGAGAGGGATAAGGACTCACCTGGCTGTGTTTACCTGTGTGCCTGCACACCTGTGCACACATGCCTAACACACATGCCTGTAGCTTCCCACATCCACACACTTCTATCTCTGGCCTTGCACACACATGCGTCTGCAGCCCCTGCGCCCGCTGCCCACTGGACCCAGCACCTGTGTAATAATGTGCGCTCAGTTTTGCCCACCTGCTGTGCCCCGGTTCCTGTCACATGGGAGACATCGGAGCAGAAACATCTGTGGGATTGGCAGGGGCAGGGGGCAGGTCCTGTGCTTCCCACCTGGGAGGATCCTGGGCTCAGAGTGAAGTTAGGGAGATGGCCACACCAGCGCTCCGGGCTGGGGGGCGGCCCCAGGACACATCCCCTCCTCTGACCCTGTGGCCTTGCCGGCCTCTCTCCCACAGTGGTCACTGCCACGCTAGCTGAGACGGGCCTCATGTCCCTGGGGATCCTGCTGCTCCTGGTCAGCCGCCTCCTTTTTGTCGCCATCAGCATTTACTACTATTACCAAGTCGGCCGAAGACCCAAGAAGGCCTAGCTGCCCGCTGGGCCTGGGGCCCTGCCCATGCCCAGGGCAGAGTGGCGCTGGGGCCTCGGCTTCCCTCTGGCTCCTGGAAGACAGGAGGGTCCCCTGCCCTGCCCCAGCCCTGCCCCAGGGAGGCAGGGGGTGGGGGGCCTTCCTTTCCTCCTGGGCACCCCGTGTGCTGTGACCTCCTGGGCTTTCAGGCTTGACATGCTGGTTTGGGGAGAGACAGGGCCTCTGCTGCCCGATTCCTCACCCTCACAGTGATACCTGCTTTCCTTGGGTCTCTCGGCCTCCAGACCCCCTCAACAGACACTGACGAAAGTCAAGCTGGAGTCATGAGGGTAGTGGGCTAAGTCGAGGGTCCAGCCTCTTCTGCCAGGAAGCCCTTCTTGCTTTTGAGAGATGCTGTGACCACCCCCATCCTTCTCCCCACACCCCCAGCCAACCTAGTGCCCAACCAGCTAAACTTGGCTTCCCTCTAATCCTGGAAAAGCCTGTACCCCTCCTCCCCAATCTGGCCCTCTCCACATGCACACCCTGAACACACATACAGACACCACACACACACACCCCGCCCATGATGTGAGCAAGCACATACACATCACACACACACCGTCTCTCACACACACACACGTGCACCTTCACAGCCCAGCTGAGGGCACGCAGGCAGGGTGTGCGGTCTGAGATGGCACCTCCCTTTCAGCCGTTCTTCGAGGATGGGCCACACACTGCTAGACGCCCTGTCCCCACTCTCCTGGCCTGGCGCGATGAGCTCTCCTGGGACCTTGCTCTAGGGCACTCTGTCTCTACCCCAGGACCCCGGAGTCCCCTGGGAGCCCCCTCCCTGCAACCAGCCTGAGTTCAGAGGCAGCCAGCAGCTGCACCCACAGGCCGCACGGACAAAGGGACACACAGCCCCCAGTGGAGACCATTGTAAGAGGTGGGGCTGGGAGAGGAGGAACAGAAGGAAAGCCATAGCGCTCCCTCGCCCTGGAATGTCCCCCAAGGCCTGATGGCCACTGGGCTCAGCCTGTCCCCCACTCCTCCCTGTTTCCTGGTGAGCCGTCCCCAACACCTGCAACTCTGGCTGCCTCCAGGGCCTGGCTGAGTGGGACTGGGTGGCCCTCAAACTCAGCACAGGAAATAAGTAGAAACATTTCAGCAAGCCGCCTCCCTTTATCTCCCCCACCCTGGCACCCTGGCAAAGGCTGACAACTGGCTGTCTTGGGGCTGAAGTGCCCCCCCCCCGTCTCTCCGTGAGGGCCCACCAGCCTGTGCTGTACACCCCCCATTAGTCCCTGATCCCAACCCTCCCTCCTGCCAGCACACCGGCACACATGGGAAGGGGCAAGCCCCAGCCCTGGGGACAGGCGTAGGGAGAGAAGCAGCCCCAGGCCCCAGACTGGCTTCCCATCCTGGCATAGAGCCGGGAATGGCTGGAGGGTGTCTATATGTACAGCCAGCTCTGGCTGCTGCCAGGTGGGCCCCTGCCGGGGGTCCTCACCCCTGTCCACTCTGTGCCTGGCTACACCCAGATACAGCACCACGGCCTGTACCCAGCAGAGCAGTGGCACCACCGTGGTTCCAGTGGATGCCCCAAGGCTCTGCTTGGTAAACGTGGCCGAGCAGAATGGGAGGCTGGACCCTGAGGAAGGGCCCCTCTCCTGGCATCTGTCTCTCGCTACCTAAGCCTGTGCCTCTCCCTAAAGAGCTCCTCCCTGCTGCCAAGCCCTGGTCTGGCCACGAGCCACTACTGCCTCCCACCGGTGGTGCCGCCAGCGGGCAGTGCCCTCGGGCCGAAGCCTCAGTCCCCCATCTGAGCCAGGCCTAGTCCTCTAATAGGGATGGTGGCTTTGTCCTCCCATCACTGCAGGTGCATTATTCCACCTGGGGAATGAGGCTGCGCGCTGGGCGTCTGCTGGCCCTGAGACATCCAGTCTTCCACACTCAACCGTGGGATGGGAGGGTGGCGTGGCCTTACCCACGGGGCTGGCCAGGCTCTGGTACAGAGCTGTGCTCACGAAATACCGGGTGGCTTGGTTAGACCTAATTGTAGTGGAGCCTGGGGGAGAGGGTGAGGGAGGGGACTGCGGGTCAGATAAGACCTGGAAGACAGACGTACAGCCGGCGGGCAGGGGGACTCTAAGGCAAGGAGGACTTACAGTTGGGAAGGAGGCAGTGGCAGAGGGGCGAGGGACAGGGGGGCCCTTAAGTCCAGCGAGGAAAGCTTCATGTGGGCCCCGCACTGCGCTCCGTTCGGGGTGACCTGGAACACCTCTTTTCCCAGCTCCCTCCAGCCATCAGCAGCCTCTTGTCAAGCTTCTGTCTCACCCCAGTCTATCCCCACCCCCAAATCAAGACCGCCTTTCTTCACGGTCACTATTTATTCTTTGTTCCTTTTTCTTTTTGTAAGAAACAGTCACAAAAACCAGTGCAAAACCATCAGTGTGGGCGTCCTGTTTTATATTACAAAACTTCCTCTGGATATATTATATAAAACGGGGTCTCACAGGAGAGAAACGTGATAAATTAGCTCTGCAATCTACGGCAAGGAACATAGACAGTTTTTAAAATAGACTTTCAACATATGAGGGAGGAAGGGGCTTCTGGGGAGATGGGGGTGCTGGGGCCTCAGCTGGTTTGGGGAATCCTGTCTGGGCCCCTCAAGCACGGATAGAGAGATGGACAAGGGAGGCTGCGGACAGGCCTGAGCACCAAGGCTAGAAATTAACAGAGACCCTGGGGAGGAGCCCTCACCCCCAGCCCATAAAGAGATACTCCTTTTCTCTAAGAGGCAGTAGCTTCAGAGCAGAAAAGTGGCTTTCAATACAGGCAGGGTTTGTGATGAACAGTGTAGTCGTCTTGTTCCTTGCCCTGTTAGCAGGGTCCGAGGAAGTCTCTGTTGTGAGCTGTTGTATTCTGGGGTAAAAAGAAACGAAGAGGTATCCCTGCCCACCCCTACCGCCAGCCACCACCAGAACCTGCTGTGGGTTGTATCTGGACCAAGCCAGCTGAACCCTGTTCCTCCCTGTGCTGTGGAGGGAGGCTCAAGCCTGATTTGGGCTGAGCTTTCTTTGCCTTGCCTCCAAGGAATGGCCTCAGGCAGCCTTGCAAATAGCTACCAGCCTGGGCGAATGCCAACAGGAGCAGAAAACCGCCTGTCTTCCCTTTCTAGGCTAAGAGGATGGCCAGCGGCTGGCTGGGGAACTGAATCTGGGCTGATTGAGGGTTCCTTGGCACATTTGTGGAAAGCCATTGAGAAGCAGTCTGTGTCCGCCCTTGAACCCACCTTTGTCAGATTTCCCTTTGTGACCAGACCTTTCTCCTGGGTTCTCCCTCTGACTCGTATGGGCCCTAGAAGCCTGGGATACCCCTGGATTAGAGCCATAAAGCTGTGCAATTTGCCTCAGTCCTGCCCAGCATGGTTTTTTTGTTTTTCCTTGTCATTCTCAGACCAGACATTTGCCTCTTCCAAAAAGCTGGGGCTAAGCACGTAGGTGGTTCAAGAGGGGCAGGTCCCAGGCCCCAGGCTGGGCTGCGGTACCAGCGGCAGGTCCCTAGGTCTCGGGAGCTTAGCTTCTGTGGAGCTCAGGTGTCATTTATGGGGCTGCCAGAGCAAGCTGTTAAAGACTGAGCTCAGAGACCTGGTGGGAGGGCCAGGACTGGCAGGCACAGCAGGAGATTGGAGGAGGGTCCACCTGAATCTTTGCAGCAGGCACAGAGCTTCTGGCTGCATCTCAGAAGGGGGCAGGAGCACAGGCCAGGGAACACTGGGCTTTAGGCTGTGACTCCGAGTGTCCCTGGTGACTGGAAAGCCTGAGGGGAGGCTGGAGGCTGATACAGGGTGCTGGTGGCTTGTGAGACAGAATGAGCTCTTCCTGAACAGGGAGAGAGGGGAGAAAAGACAGCAGACATCACACTGCTCCTTCCATCCCTGCCCATGGCAGACATCACTAATCAAACTTACGGTGCCTGGCAGACATCACTTATCAGGATTCCACCGCATCTCTCACTGAGCCCAGACCAAACCTCAGATCCCCAGCACAGCCTCCAGCAGCCACCCCTGATCTATCAGGATAGGGGCATCTTGCAATCCAGTTGCCAACACTCGTCTAGAGTTTGAGAACTGAATACCTGTGGGTGTGCGTCTGCGAGTCTCCCTGCCCAAGCCTGGAGGGTATACTAAGAAATGTGCGAACAGTGAAGAGACAGGAAACCTTGTTGCAGCAGAAATGGCCTCGATGCCTTCAGGATTCTTTAGTCTGGAGAGAAGAGGGCTCAGGGGAGTCAATGTGTGACCTTAACACTCCAGGAAGAAGAGCAGGCAAGTGGGATGCCGTGGACGGAGCCACAGAAAAACAGAAACCTCTTCTGTATATTAAGCTGATGCTAAAGTCAGAGCAGTCCAAAGGCAGGAGGCTGCCTTGGGAGGTAGTAAGCTCTCTGTCCCTGGAGGTATGCAAGAAGAGGGTGGAGAAGTCTTGGCAAGGATCTTGAAGGTACCCAAGCCTCAGTTCTGGGTGTGGAGAGGGAGACCCGGATGATCTTGGGGATTTCTTCCACTCTGGGAGCTGGGGAGTTGGGGAAGGACAGGGAAGGGGGTGGCTTGTGGGGAGAGGTGGGCAGTGTGGACAAGGGAATGTGAGGTGCGCCCCTGTGTGTTCCTGGGGACTCAGAGAGAGAGGTGTAGGGAGGTAGGAGGGAGGGCACGGTGGGAAGTCATGGAATGGTGTTTTCTTAGCTGTAGAGCAGGGAGGAGGCGGTTCCTGGCTGGCTTGCCCTCTCTCATCTGGGGGAACCGGAATGCTGAGGCCAGGGGTCCATGTGGGCAGCAGAGCTGACAGAGCCCTGGATGCAGTGACAGCAGCCTGGAGACAACTCAGATTCCGTCATGCCTGTGCTGTGTGTCTGTGGATGGGCCACTGCCCCTCTCTGGGCCTTTGAGAGTATTTGGTCCAACAGATGGGGAATGCAAGGATCCTGCCAGCTGGGCCATTCTTGGATGCCGTTTCAGCAGCTCACTCTTGACCCCGGCCTGAACAGGGGACAGTCCATCCTCCAGTGGACCAGGGATTGCGCTGTGGGTTCCGAGTCCTCAAGGATGTGCCAGCGAATCTCTGTGGGGCTTTGATGACTTCTCTGAGATTTGCTTTGTCCTCCTCGTTGCCTAAATCCTCACTTTCTTGGCATCAGGTCCTGGTGCAGTGAGGAGAGAGGGCCCAGGGTCTGGCTGGACCAACAAGGGCACTGGGCCTGGTGTTCCTTTGGTCTCTAGAGCAGCCTACATCCTGGGCCAGGCGCTGGGGTCTCTGCAGAGAGCCC